GAGAGGCCCTGTCACCTGCCCAAGGCAATAAGTTGGTCAGGCAAAGCTGACATTCAGACCTCGGTCTCATGAACCCTAAGTCAGGGCTGCTTCTCCGAGTTTCTCCAGACCATCTCCCACCTGGGGCCCAGGTGAGAGGTCAGGCATAGAGGCCCTGCAATGAGATCCTCTGCGGTTTTGTGTCCGGAAGACAGCAGGAGATGTTGTGGAAGGGCCAACGTTCTGCTGAGGCAGTCCCCCGTCAGAGAGCACAGACCTCGAGGGGACTTAGGTCAGGCTGAGGGAGACTGATGGCAGCTGAGTCAGAGATCTGAGCCTGGACCGACTTCTTAAGTTCCTTAGGGACGATGCACCACTTTCTACACTTGCCCCCATGTCAACGCCGAGCAGCTTCCAAGTGTCTCTCACCACTGAACACTTCCCAGGCTTCACCTGAATTGGAGAGAGCAGGTCCAGAGCTTGAAACCCTCCCACTGCCCAAGACTACAGACCAGTCTTACCTTCCTCCATGGAAGCTAACTGCTGCAGTCCCCAAACTGAGGCCTCATGACAGCAGACCTGATTCCTTTAACCCAGGGCACCCCCTGCTGGGCTGACTGGTGGCTGATCTCAAGTCAGGCTGAAGGTAGGTTTCACTAATTGATCAAGCCATCAAGAAGATTCACAAAGTGGGCAATGGCAGACACTGGACTAGCCCTTGTCCCCAGCCACCTTCAGCAGATAGATGGGGAAACAATGGAAACAGTGAGAGACTTTATTTTGGTGGGCTCCAAAATCACTGCAGATGGTGACAGCAGCCATGAAATTAAGACACTTGCTCCTTGGAAGAAAAGCCATGACCAACCTAGACAGCATAATAAAAAGCAGAGACATTACTTTACCAAAGAAGGTCCATCCAGTCAAAGCTGTGGTTTTTCCAGTAGTCATGTATGGATGTGAGAGATGGACTATAAAAAAGCTGAGCACCAAAGAATTGATGCTTTTGAACTGTGGTGTTGGAGAAGACCCTTGGACTGCAAGGAGATCTAACGAGTCAGTCCTAAAGGAAATCAGTCCTGAATATTCATTGGAAGGACTGATGTTGAAACTGAAACTCCAATACTTTGGCCACCTGATGCGAAAAACTGACTCATTGGAAAAGACCCTGAAGCTGGGAAAGATTGAAGGCAGGAGGAGTAGGGGATGACAGAGGATGAGATGGTTGAATGGCATCACCAACGTGATGGACATGAGTTTGAGTAGGTTCCGGGAGTTGGTGATGGACAGGGAAGCCTGGCATGCTGCAGTCCATGGGGTTGCAAAGTGTCAGACATGACTGAGCGAATAAACAGAACTGAACACCAGCATCCCAAGACCCTCTACCCTCCGTCTCAATCTTTGCCCCTCTCATGGGTTCAGAGCAGCTGGAGGATCCCTGCCTTTCATCCAACCAATACGAGGCCAGCATTGCTTCTTCTCTGAACACTGCTGGCCATCCTAGCACCCATCGGGGGGCAGGGGCAGGGGCAGGGCCTGGCTGGAAGCCCCACCCCAATAGGGAGATTTGGGCAGGGGAGAGTCTTCAGCTTTCTCTTCCTCAAGAGATACAACATAGACAAAGAAGGGAAGTGGATTTAAGGGCTCAGAGACCATCTTCCCAGGAAGATGAAAGGATTCCCCAGAATCCAGAAGGAAGGTGGTGGGGAAGCGGACACGACCCAGAGGTGGGCAAGAGGAGGGTGCTAAGGACAGCCTGACAAGGGGCCGTGACATGTCGCTGACTCCTGAGGGAATGTGCCAGCTTCCCACACAGGTGTCCCTGGCCCAGGGAAAGATAACAGGCACACAGAACAAAGCGGGACAGAGAGAGAGAGGAGAAAATAAAGCACACACATGAACACACTGGATGAAAACTGAGATGGAAGGATGAGCAAGATGGGAAAGGAGAGAAAAACAGTAATAAGATGAACCGGAAATGAAAAGAAGGATACAGAGCGGACAGAAGATGAAGAGCAAGAGAACAAAGGAGATGCAGAGAATGAGAGGAGGAGAGGGAGGGAGGGAGGAAGCGGCTGAGAGACACACAGAGGATGTGGCTGACCTCGCTGTCTGCGCAAGGGATCATTTCCGGTGGTCCAGGCACTCTTCCAGATGAAGCCCTCTCGAGAACTTGGTTTCTGTTTGTCAGGGTTTCCTTTCCGGGGATGCCCAGTGGAAGGACTGGGTTGAACCCCTGCCCTAGGAAAGAAAGAGGAGCTCCCCCAACCCCGAGCTAGCCAGGCACCCCTCCACCCCTGCCCATTCTGAGATACCCCCAGTAGGTGACTGTGATTCAAACCCTCCCCTTCAGCCGGGCCAACACTTCTTTACTGTTACACTCTATTCTAAGACTCTTCCTCCTCAGCCTTCCATCTTTCCCTCCTTCGCCAGGAGTCAACCCTGCATCTAGTCTGATGGCTGTCCTCATCCCTCGTCACCCATTTACCCTGACAAGCCTTTTCCCCAGGAAACCCTTGGTGATCTAATCTTACCCTGACATCTGCCGTCCAGGGGACCTTAAACTCAGTCACTCACCTGTTTGTTTTTGGTTTGAATTGTTCAAGCAATGAAGGGAAAGGAAGCGAGGAGGCAGAAGAAGATTAGAAAAAGAAAAAAATTTTTTTTCTCATAAACATTACTCTCAAATGAAGAGGGTGGTTAAATTCTACCCTCTTAGAAACCATGAAAAAGAGTGAGGTGCTCATTTTATTTAAATGACAATATTCATCATGTACCAAAAAACGTATCACTTGCTATGATATAAATTATGATGAAAAAATACATATCAACTTAAAACATTCTAGGAAATAAGCAGTTCTTAAAATTTAAGATGTACATGTCAAAGATAAACATATTTTTAAAACATTTCTACCATTTATTTTCAGCAATTTACCATGCATTTTTTCTCTCCTATTCTTTAACTAGAACATCATCCTTGGACACCTGGACAATTTCTAAGTAAGACAGAGAATACAAAACATTAGTCACCAATAAAATATACTTTTAAGTATATTTATATATTGTAGATTGAGAATCAATTAACATGTTTAGTAGAATGTTCCTATGCTCTTGGTGACATTAGTGTTTACTGAAGTACTTGGTACATTAGCGCTTAAGTCACCTGCCTTCTGGCTATCTGTGAGAGAACAGAAAGTTATTGTTGTGATTAAAGGTTATAACTAGATGGATAATTAAGACTATACTATATATAGTATAAGACTATACTACATATATATTTCAAATTTTCATAAATTTGAAAATTGATATTTGTCTATTTATCAAAGGAATTTTTACAGTTCATGAAGATAAAAGAGAACAACACATTTTTTGAAGAACACTCTCTAAGACCTGAAATCCCTCTGTGATCCCAAATCAAGACAGAATCACAAAGCAGAAAGAGAGGAAATGCATGGCTAAATAACACTTCATTATTAGGTAGATTAGGGTCTTAGACCCCTTAAATTAAGATTCAAGGTTGCTAAGCAGAATTTCCTTTTCTAAATTTATGAAGGCTTAGATTTTAGACCCTAAAGTAGCTTAGAACTAAGGCCATGTTCCACTCCATTTCCGACCCTGAAGTCCCAAGTCTAGTCCTCCATCATACAACTCCCCCAAGTGGAAAGGCCACCAGTAGCCGGACCAGAGACAATGCAGTGAAGAGACTTGCCCCCCCACCTCAGGATAAGAATGTACATCTTTCATAGCATCCAAACACAGAAACTCTGACTCAAAAATACCCTGGGAATGTAACGAACAGAGAGCCTGAGTGTCAGGAGGCATTAAAAAAAAACTTATCAGAAAAACAGAAGTGCAGGCACTTGCCAAGACTAAACGTGAAACAGTAATCCCATCCTTTTATACAATCACTGAAGGATCCCCCACAAAAGGTTGAAGACAGAGACGGGGGGCAGGGGAGAGAGAGAGAGACTCAGTAGTCATAGATTCTCCTGCAGTTTTAAATAGATAACACTTTATTTCTCTGTGGCATTTTCATATCGAGAGGCATTCAACTCTTGATAAAAAGAAGTCTTGTAGAATGAGGCATGCAGGGAAGCACTGGAGATGAGTTATCCAAGTGTGAGCCTGGACTCCCCTACGCCTTCTCAAGAAACCTCTAAAGAAAGGTTTCTACCTGGGGAGAGAAGAGAAAGAAGCAGAGACATGGGATGATGCAAACCCTGCGGGGAACACGGACTGGATCCCACGACCACCGTGGTCTGCACTCTGCATACTCCTCCCGAGGACTTCCAAGAAATCAGGGTTCGGGAATTCTAGGCGAGCCATTCTAAAGAATTATTATCTCAGAACCCCTTACCTTACTGTTTAAATGTATAGAGGAAAGTGCTTCCTTATTATGAGCTATTAGAAAAAATAATGGCCAGGGGCTTTCCTGGTAGTCGAGTGGCTAAGACTCTGCACTCCCAATGCGAGGGGCCGGGTTTCCATCCCTGGTCAGGGAACTGGATCCCACAAGCTTCAGCGAAGATCAAAGATCCTGAGTGCTGCAACTAAGGCCCAGTGCAGCCAAATAAACAAATACTTAAAAAAAAAAAAAACACGGCCCTGGAAAACAGTTATGATAAAAATTCAGTAACAGTTCAGACGCTTAGAGATAATCTCATCCTAACCTCCTTGTCATTTCACCAAACAATGATGCCTAAAACACAAATGGTGCGTTTTCTGAAGAAGGTTTGAAGGGCCTCTCTCTTCACTGTCTTTGAGGCGAGTTTTGGGGCAGACAGACCGGACCTTAATCCCCAGTCGGGGACCCAACCAGGGACCCCTACAGTGGAAACGCTGTGTCTCAACCACGGAACCGCCAGAGAAGTCCCGGATCAGATCTCAATTTAAAAGCTCTTATCTCCATGAAATCTAAGGTCACTGACAGTCCTCCACTCCCTCTGGGAGACCTGGTTCTTCTGGAAAGTTCCAGGGGCAAAGTGGAGGGGGCGGGGCGGGGGGCAGACGTAGGGCTTCTCACCTCACTCCAACGACATCCAGGGCTCCATACACTGACGCCGACAGTTATAGAAACAACACTTCTTGGGCCCCTTGCACCCTCTGTCGCGCCGGCACGTAGGTAAAAGGACGAATGGGCAGGAAAGAAAAAATTCTGGGCAATGTCCAGGTTTCTGGATGGCTGGGGAAAAAATGCCACAGGGTGAGGTGGGGGCCCCAGGGCATCAGCGCCAGCGTGTCCCATCGGCTTCTCGGAGAAAGCGTGCCCCCACCCCCCACCACACCGAGGACCGCCGCGCCCTCCACGCACCCTTGTGGGGTCCCGGCTGTGCTGTGTGGAAGAAGAGCAGGAGGAAGATCACAGGGAGCGCAGAGACGCTGCTCATCTTCATAACGGAAGCAGAGTGTGGGGGAACGTGGAGGCTGGGTGTCTTGTTTATATCGACTCTGGCAGGCAGTGGCCAGCAGGGGGAGCTGTAGTTCCCAAGGTCCAAGGTCAAAGTGCCTGCATTTGACCGGGAAGTATCAAGTCTCCCATCCTTGAAAAAGGAACTGTAATAAGCTCTGAGGCATAACCTCTGAGAGCCCACAAGTTCTCCCTCTTCGTCAGGGAGTGTCAGGGCTGGCCCGGCCCGTAATCTTTCTTGCTTTATGCAGTGAATTTGGAGGCAGATAGAAGGGAATGGTCTTTCCCAGGGCACTTTGTCTGGTCTGACAAACTCTCTCCCCTTCTCACTATGTATCCAGGACAATCTAACCCCAACCCTCCCCACAGATTTCAGAAATGGGTACATTTGAAGAGTTTCCTTTGAACAAATTAACCTTTGAAACACACAAAGGTACAAAGACAAGGCACAATAATAAGCTATTAGCAAAATAAAATGGATTTTTTTTTCTAAAAACAAACCCCCAATTCTCTCATTTAAAAAATTATTCATTTATTTATTTTGGCCGTGCCTGGGCTTTCTCTGGTTGCAGCAAATGGGGCCTACTCTCTAGTTGCGGTGTGCGGGCTTCTCACTGTGATGGCTTTTCTTGCTGTGGCTCACAGGCTCTAAGACGTGCGGGCTTCAATAGTTGTGGCCATGGGTTTAGGTGCCCAGTGGCATGTGGAATCCTCCCCGACCAAGGACTGAATCAGTATTCCTGTGTCGGCAGGCAGACTCTTAACCACTGGACCACAGGGAAGTCCCTTAATATGGAGATTTATGGATACTATCATGCATTGGTAGTTTGAGCATTCTTTGGCTTTGCCTTTCTTGGGGATTGGAATGAAAACTGACCTTTTCCAGTCCTGTGGCCACTGCTGAGTTTTCCAAATTTGCTGACATATTGAGTACAGCACTTTCACAGCATCATCTTTCAGGACTGGAAATAACTCAACTAGAATTCTATCACCTCCACTAGCTTTGTTTGTAGTGATGCTTCCTAAGGCCCACTTGACTTCACATTCCAGGATGTCTGACTCTAGGTGAGGGATCACACTATCGTGGTTATCTGGGTCATAAAGATCTTTTTTGTACAGTTCTTCTGTGTATTCTTGCCACCTCTTCTTAATATCTTCTGCTTCTGTTAGGTCTATACCATTCCTGTCCTTTATTGAGCCCATCTTTGCATGATATGTTCCCTTGGTATCTCTGATTTTCTTGAAGAGATCTCTAGTCTTTCCCATTCTATTGTTTTCCTCTATTTCTTTGTACTGATCACTGAGGAAGGCTTTCTTATCTCTCCTTGCTATTCTTTGGAACTCTGCATTCAAATGGATATATCTTTCCTTTTCTCCTTTTCTTTTCACTTCTCTTCTTTTCACAGCTATTTGTAAGGCCTCCTCAGACAGTCATTTTACTTTTTGCATTTCTTTTTCTTGGGGATGGTCATGATTCCTGTCTCCTGTACAATGTCACGAACCTCCGTCCATAGTTCATCAGGCACTCTGTCTATCAGATCTAGTCCCTTAAATCTATTTCTCACTTCCACTGTATCATCGTAAGGGATTTGATTTAGGTCATACCTGAACAGTCTAGTGGTTTTCCCTACTTTCTTCAATTTCTTTAGCATTACTGGTTGGGGTATAGACTTGGATTACTGTGATATTGAATGGTTTGCCTTGGAAATGAACAGAGATCATTCTGTCATTTTTGAAATTGCATCCAAGTACTGCATTTCAGACTCTTTTGTTGACTATGATGGCTACTCCATTTCTTCTAAGGGGTTCTTGCCCACAGTAGTAGATATAATGGTCATCTGAGTTAAATTCCCCCATTCCAGTCCATTTTAGTTCTCTGATTCCTAAAATGTTGACTTTCACTCTTGCCATCTCCTGTTTGACAACTTCCAATTTGCCTTGATTCATGGACCTAACATTCCAGGTTCCTGTGCAATATTGCTCTTTACAGCATTGGACCTTTCTTCCATCACCAGTCACATCCACAACTGGGTGTTCTTTTTGCTTTGGCTCCGTCTCTTCATTCTTTCTGGAGTTATTTCTCCACTGATCTCTAGTAGCATATTGGGCACCTACCAACCTGGGGTGTTCATCTTTCAGTGTCCTATCTTTCTGCCTTTTCATACTGTTCATGGGGTTCTCAAGGCAAGAATACTGAAGTGGTTTGCCATTCCCTTCTCTAGTAGACCACATTTTGTCAGACCTCTCCACCAAGACCCGTCCATCTTGGGTGGCCCTACATGGCGTGGCTTAGTTTCATTGAGTCAGACAAGGCTGTGGTCCATGTGATTAGCTTGGTTAGTCTTCTGTGATTGTGGTTTCAGTCTGTCTGCCCTCTGATGCCCTCTCTCAGTGCCTACCGTCTTACTGGGGTTTCTCTTACCTTGGAGTGGGGTATCTCTTCATGTCTACTTCACAATTGCACTCATCTCACACGCTAGTAAAACAGTGCTCAAAATTCTCCAAGCCAGGCTTCAGCAATATGTGAACTGTGAAATTCCAGATGTTCAAGCTGGTTTTAGAAAAGGCAGAGGAACCAGAGATCAAATTGCCAACATGCGCTGGATCATCGAAAAAGCAAGAGAATTCCAGAAAACCATCTATTTTTCTTTTATTGACTATGCCAAAGCCTTTGACTGTGTGGATCACAATAAACCATAGAAAATTCTGAAAGAGATGGGAATACCAGAACACCTGACCTGCCTCTTGAGAAACCTGTATGCAGGTCAGGAAGCAATAGTTAGAACTGGACATGGAACAACAGACTGGTTCCCAATAGGAAAAGGAGTACATCAAGGCTGTATATTGTCACCCTGCTTATTTAACTTATATGCAGAGTACATCATGAGAAATGCTGGACTGGAAGAAGCACAAGTTGGAATCAAGATTGCTGGGAGAAATATCAATAACCTCAGATATGCAGATGACACCATCCAATGGCAGAAAGTGAAGAGGAACTAAAGAGCCTCTTGATGAAAGTGAAAAAGGAGAGTGAAAAAGTTGGCTTAATCCAGGAAAGTTATGACCAATCTAGTAAACATATTAAAAAGCAGAGACATTACTTTGTCAACAAAGGTCCATCTAGTCAAGGCTATGGTTTTTCCAGTGGTCATGTATGGATGTGAGAGTTGGACTATAAAGAAAGCTGAACACTGAAGAATTGATGCTTTTGAACTGTGGTGTTGGAGAAGACTCTTGAGAGTCCCTTGGACTGCAAGGAGACCCAACCAGTCCATCCTAAAGGAGATCAGTTCTAGGTGCTCATTGGAAAGACTGATGTTGAAACTGAAACTCCAATACTTTGGCCACCTGATGGGAAGAACTGACTCACTTGAAAAGACCCTGATGCTGGGAAAGATTGAGGGCAGGAGGAGAAGGGGATGACAGAGGATGAGATGGTTGGATGGCATCACCGACTCAATGGACCTGAGTTTGGGTGGACTCCGGGAGTTGGTGATGGACAGGGAGGCCTGGCGTGCTGTGGTCCATGGGGTCACAGAGAGTCGGACACGACTGAGCGACTGAACTGAACTGACTGATTGGTTTAAGTGCAGTCATGTTTTCTGCTTTTAACACCTGCCTCCATGTCTCCCTGACTTTGTATAAACTTCATTTCTTACTAAGTTCAGAAATCTAACCTGAGGTCATTTTGGAATATGAACCCCAGGTCAAATAGATTTTCTATTTTCTTTCTTCTAGATTTTTCTGCACCCCTGTAAAAGTGTGTGTTGTTCCTACTTACTTGGTGGCAAAGAATAAATCTGTCTTGAGCAGTGATGAGGAGCAGATCTATGGATACACACAGGGGAGTTGGTAACAGATGGGATAGGCAGAGAGATGCTGGGGGGAAAGATGGCTTCCTGGAGCAGCAACTCTGTCCACCAACTTCTCACCTGCCTTTCTCTCTTTCTTTCCTTCTTAAAAAAAGGTTTTATTAGAGAGATCTGCAGCAAATTTAGGCATTTAACAGAAAGAAAAACAGGTCTCTATTAACTGGTTTTCCACAGCACTGCATATGCCGTTTTAGAAAATTTAGAATTGAGCTTCCAATGGAAAAAAAACATTCTTTAATTAAGGTCAATTTGTTATATAGTAAAATTTAAAATTTTGGCATTATATAAATTATAATTTGTTATTTGTACATGCTACAAAAGGATCACCACCTTAAGTCTAGTTACCATCCATCGCTATACAATGGATTCCCTTCACCCACTTCCCTCCCTCTGCCACCCTGAAACCATGTTCCCCTCTGGTAACCACTGATCTGTCCTCTCCAACTATGAGTCTGTATTTGTTTTATTATTTAGATTCCACATTTAAGTAAAATCATATGGTATTTGTTATCCTCTGCCTGATTCATTTCACTTGGCATAATACGCTGTAGGTCCATCCAGGTTGTTGCAAATAGCAAATTTCATTGTCCCAGCTCCCTCTCAAGGGTTATATCTCCCCAGGAGGGATAGGCTGCCAGTACATCTCAAACTCTGACCCCGCAACCCCCCACCCTCCACCCCCTGCCTCCAGCAATTTGTGCCACAGGGAATTTTTGGAAAAAAACAGAGCCATCCCCTGGCAATTTAGTGAAGACTAAAAACTGAGTGTTATGCTGATAGAGTCACACAGTTTAACAGGAAAACAAGGAGATATAAGTGAAGATACTGTCTGATGCTAAGCTTCCCAAAGTAATAGTTAATGGGTCGGGGTGTGGGAAAGAACTTAGCTCGTTGGAAACATTCCAGGATTTGAGTGTATTTAGTTCTTCAAGGGATCCAGTGTTCTGGGGGAATGGGATTAGCCCTAGATCTGTGATTCTCAATCAAAGTGATGTTGCTACTGAGGACATTGGGCAATGCCTGGGGACGTTTTATAACTTAAGGGGATGATCTGTCTAGTAGGTAGAGCCCAGAACTGCTGCAAAACATCCTACAATACACAGGAAAGCCCTGA